AAAGCCAGAAACATAATCTGTTTTAAAACAAACAGATTCTGGAGCCCGGTTCTGCAGCGAGGGGTGGATTCAATGGCCATGGAAAACGTGTGTGTGGGGGGGGGGCCTTGCTAGGCGTGGGAGACAGCCTGTGGGAGCAGGAAAGGGGGGTGCATGATGGCGTGTGAGGGGAAGGGTGCAGGCCGATGAGCCAGGCAGAAAGGTGATGGGAAGCAATGGGAGGTGGTGATGATTTGGGGGGGGGAGTGAGGAAGGGCAGGTGGCAGTGTCAGGAGGGGTGGGGAGCGCTGGGGGCAGCAGTGAGCTGTGTTGAGTGACAGCTGCAGGCACCGACTCTTCTTATGGAAGAAACCAAACGGCTGTATGTGGATGGAGTGATATAGAACAAAATAGCCCCCCGCCACAGAGTTATTTCCTCTTCCCACCCCCTGGGGTTGTTTCCACCAATCAGAAGGTTTTTTACAGTCAGGTCAATGAGTCACCGCCCTGAAATGCGGCCGGAGAGCCAATCGGAATGGGCGCTCGAGCAACCAATCAGACAGAGCCTTACAAACAGCCAATCGGAAGGGCAGTGGCATTGTTGTTGTCCTGTCACAGGGGGTTGGCCCGTGGAGCAGCTCGCCCGGCCGCTGCCGCTGAGTGAGAGTCTTGGGGAGGCCCGAGGCCCGCGCCCCTTCCTCTCGGTCGCGCCTTCGCCGGCCCCGCAGCGGGCGGGGCGATGCAGCCTCCGGGCCCCCAGCAGCCGCCCCTCTACGCGCCCAGCAACGGGGACTTCACCTTCGTCTCCTCGGCCGAGGCGGAAGGTGAGAGCGGGGCTGGGCAGGTTCGCGGCTCCCGGCCCGGGAGTGGCCGAGCGGGCGGCCCGGGGGCGCCTCTGTCTCTGTCGGAAGAGATGGCCCCCGCCCCGTTAAGCTTGTGGGTGTCGGGGGCTTGTGGGGGACTCGGCAGCGTCTCTCCGTCTGGGCACTTGAGGTGGGTGGGAATAAAACGTAACAGCTTTCCTGCGAAATCCCAGCCACGCACCCGGCCCCGGGCTGCGGCTCCGTCTGCGTGGCACAGGCAGCTGCCTGTGGGGCTGGTCTCCTCCTCCGGCAGCGGTGCTCTCCAGGCCTGCGCCGCGCAGTGATCCATCCGTGCTTGTGACGAGTGTGGAGGTTGCCCCCCCCCCCGCCCCGCATGCCTGGGTTTGCTGCTTAGGTGGTGCTGTGGGTAGCTTGGAGCCACCGTCTCCAAGGCTCAGTAATTCGGCGCTGAGCAGTAGGTATCCGAAAGCGAGTACTGTGCGGGATGTGTGGCGAATAGGCTGACAATACTGCGTGAGCGGTTGTAATGTATCAAAATGTGCCTCGGGAGAAAGCTGTCTTTATGTCAAGATATGCACTCGTGTTTAGTACAGCAGAATTATGCCACCTGTAGTTCGACTAGCAGCTGCATTCTTTTCTCCTCCCCCCCCAGCAATATCTACCCTAGGAGTATGAATGATCATTGCATGTGTATAAACATAACTGGTGGCTCTGAGAGCATGTGTATGCAGACGTAATTCAGGATTTATATACAGCCCATCCTGAAACTAGAACCAGCATGGAAATCTACCAGAAAACTGAAGACTAAAGGGGTTGTGCTTATTCATTTATTTAACATAAACTGTGGTGAGTCAAGTGTAAAGGTAGAATTAGGCAGGCCAAAAAAGAATTTGAAGAGCAACTAGCAAAAGACTCAAAAACTAGCAGCAAAATTTTTTTTACGTACATCAGAAACAGAGAGCCTGCCAAACAATCAGTGGCGCCACTGGATGAGTGAAGTGGTAAAGGAGCACTCAAGGAAGACAAGGCCATCGTGGAGAATACTCCAGCGGGAATTCTGTGCCATTGCACAAGTGCAAAATTAATGTCCTCTGCAGGTGTTCTTTTGTTTTGTTTTCCCCAAAGAATAATTGATTCTGATGGGGAGGCGAAGGGAAGCCACGAGAGGAGTGTCATGCATCCCTCCCAGGCAGTGGTCCCAAGCGGGTGCATCTGTTCAGGCATCAGAAGCAGACAGGGGAGATGTAAATCACTGCCTCGGGGCTGCCCATGTGTGCATGCAAGACTCTGTCCCTCTTGCTTGCTATTGCACTGTGCCCAGCGCAGAGGGGCAGGATGCTGGGATGTTTCTGGGGCAGGCATGGGGTGGGTCAGGCCCGTGCACTGGGTCAGGGTTGGGTGCAGCCTTGCCACCAAGTTCATGTCCAGGGGAGGTGAGGGGGGCTGTAGGATGACCCCCCCACACACACACCTCTGTGCAACCAATGACCTGTGCCTTTCTAATCTAGGATGCCTTTCTTATCTAGGACACTTGGGAATCAGCTGGGGACATTAATTGGTGTTGCTTTATTTCTTGATTTGTATTATTAGATCTCACTGTCTTGATTCCTTCCTCCTATGTGCAATACTTGCATGTCTCCAGAGTGTATACTTGCTGATTGCATGACTCCCTTTCTCCTCCAGGAAAGTTTTCCCACCCCCTTCTGATTTTGAGATGGACACCAAGATGAGCCTGCTTACATTCTTGCCCTACCTTGTGCTAAGGATCAAATACACCTTCCTCTAATGTAGTGATCCACTGACCATTCATTTAGAAAAACATATCGGCTTTATTTTAAACATACTCAGTATTTTTCTTTCTATTTTAAGAATTTGTTTAAATTAGCCAGTCTGAGCAGAAATGTAATTCTAAAATGCACCGTTTTGCACCATTTAAAAATCAGGAGCCTAAGGGAGTATTTTTCTTT